ACTGTATCAACGCTCGAACCCTCATGTCTGCTTGGAAGTGCGCACACACTCACACCTGGCTCCCCAATCCGGTCCGGCCAATCACCTACCCGAGGGTGTGCCGGGTTGGCACACTTCGGATGCCGTCCCTCTCGGGAGCGGATGTATTCTCGTCCGACAGTCGACCTCCTCCTACCCATTCTCCACTACTTTTGCGCAGAATATATTATTCCTTCCACCTGACGGCTCCTTTCTCCTCTTCCCGGACCTGAAAATCGCAACGGCAAGGGTTTTCCATACTAACATTAACCTCCCGGCGATAAAGCCACGCACATGCTCAACTTCAATGATATCTTCAATTGCGGCCATCACACAAGAGATGCGGATAACTATATATTCCTCACAGTCTCCTCTTCACTGTAATTTATTATCAGGGAACGGAATAATTTCCCTGAAACGTCTAGCCGATGCCTTTCATTTTTCTAGCCCGTGTGTGACTGTTAATTTCCGGTATTTTAAATCGCGCGCTCGAGTTCTTACGCTTTATTGGGGTATTTTAATAAGCCACTTGCTCTTTTCTCTGCTTCATTTTGCAATTAATTGCATTTGCGTGCCAGGGCCAATCTGGTTATCAGCCAATCACGGCTGCCCAAACGGGCCAATCATCTTCAAGGCCGATTCTCCGAAGGCGCTCCGATGACTCTCAATTCAGGTTTGGCTGCCATTCTCGCGGGGCTGAACCTGTGCCCTTCTCTGGCTCCCAACGTCTGTTGACCTCTTTTCAATCTTTCTGCACAAAATAAATTTCTTCCTAACTGGCGTCCCAACTCGCCTCCATCTATTCAGGACCGCGTCTATAGGTCGTAATAGTTAGGGTCTCCTTATAGCTTTTGAAATCGCGGCAATCTCCTATCAGTAAGTTCAAGTGACCTCCCGCCCTCATTCGTCATACGTATTAAGGGAAGAAATTTAAGGTCCCTTCCTGGAATGGATGTCTAGATGGAGGCGCTGATTTTCAGTGATTTTGATGTCCATAAAAAGCAGAAACTGACTTTCTTCTAGGGGGTCACGATTACTGAATTTTGTAGTTCATGAAGACAAATGAATTCGACCGTTCCATCATCAGTTTCCAGTGCTTACTGGCTAGGTAAGCAGTGTTGCGACAGAAACGGTAATTGCAGAGCTTCTTATTCTGCTCATGGATCTCCACGTCCACATAGACGGACATCATATCGCTAGGGGGAAGGTCGAAGTCAAACTTTTCCTCCCAGACCGGATTACGTGTACCCTGGCGCAGCGTTGTGAAACGCGCCTTGCTAACTTTCTCCTTGCTGCCCCCGGAGGAAACGCCGAAGTGATTTGCCAAGTCGCTGACATTTGATTGGGACTTCTTGTAGATCCGCTTTTTCTTCTGAAGCACAGCCCAGATAGTCAGAGTTTCGCCCTTTTCGTTAGTAAGGTTGATACCCTTGGATATCTGAAATATAAAAGTGCGCAGCATGAAAGAATTAATGGTAGCCAAGGGTATAGGAGCACCAAACAGGGCAGGTCTCGGAAGAGATGTAGAAAGTTTTGTTTGTTAGTGTGCGTCTTTGGAGCTGGGTAGACGTTGCCAAAACACGTAGTGCGCGCAGTTTGTCTAATTTCCTTCTAATGCGATGAAGAAACGGCCTGTTTTTTTTCACTGAAATAGGTTCATGTGCAGAGGCACATACTGCGCCCGAACCATTCAAAATTGAAATTAAATTGCTAAAAATACCATCGGATAGAACATCTTACCTAAGTAGCTTTGCCGTTTGCATCTTCAGAGAAGAAACTTGAGTTAGCTTGCGCACCGTGCATTCTGGCATTTGGTTAGGAACTTTCGCGCATTGCCTCTCCTGATTTCGGAAGTTTACGCTAAATCGGTACTTTCCCTCAAAGGTGATTGGGCAGTTGGCAAGGTCGACATTACAATTGTGATCAGCTATTGAGTAGCCTAAAAACCAACCGTTGGGACTCGTTATTGGTCGCTGACTTCCAGTGTCATAAGAAGCGGTAATTGAGGTGTACTATGAGTGTTGGCCTCCTCAACACTATATCCATCCTTCAGGACCAGTCAAAACCGCATACCAAGTTCATCCGTAAATTTAAATCTGGTATTTTAAGTTAATTACGTTAATTGTAAAAGTACTCTTAATCTGTAAGGCGGTAAAGGTCATTGTGACTTGACTTTACAACTAGTACTTGCTCCTTGGGGAGAAGGGGTGCTTTTTGAAGAGAGCTAAGGAGCAAACTCAGGGAAGAACGGGAGGTAGGCCTGGTCACCAGTCCAAAAGCCCGTTCTTAAGGTTGCGAAGCAAGACTGCTCCGACCCAGAAAGGCAGTAAGAGACTGCGGTGAAACACTTCTGCGTGCATTTATAGGACAAAAGTGGTTTCGAAGGAATCAATTGTAGCTTGGAGATTAATTGTTGTGGCCGACTTAGTACGGGGCAACTGTCCTGTAATTTCATGACCACGCCTTACTAAGCATGTTATACGAGAGTCAAGACGCCCACCTTCCCTTCAATATGGGAATAAGATTAGAATGGCCGGCAAAATTAGTTTATGTAGTACACTTTATATACCCCTAGTCCCAGCATTTTGTCCCACGAAAACGGTGGTTATAGAATTTTTGGGGGTGGATAAATAGGAAAGGCAGAGAAGGACATTTTTAGAGTTAAAAGTAAAGTGAAAAAATTTAGTTGAAGTTGCTTCCCGCGGCCGCTGGGAATAAGTTATTCCGTATGTACATTGAAGGTGAGTGCGGCGCTTCGCGCCGCGGACTATACTAATCTAACTCCAGAACGGTAAGTTAACAGGTAAATTGAGGTAAACGACCTCCTAACCATCATTTCTATTTTTCAGGAACTTAAAGAAACCTGCAACTTCATAATCGGGTTTTCCTGCAATATTTTAAACAATAATACATATTAGGAAAATCTACAGATATTAACCAACTAAATTTCCAAATACAGTAAAATAAAAATGCATATAGTAGTATTAAAGTATATTCCACTGCCTATTGTAATTCCCCACCCATAAAACTCTATAACCACCGTTTTTTGTGACGAAATGCTAGGACTAAGAGTTAATAAGGTACACTACATAAAATACTATTGCCGGATTGCCTGCAGGAACCATGTGGCTATGACATTTCCGAAACACAGACTGTGAGCGGGTTGCCGAGCTCGTTTAACATCTCAATTTTGTGCGGTTAAATTTTAGGAAAACTTAGATCTCTATAACAAGACCGCAAGAACGGGGCATTCTGACACTTTTCGGGAGAAATTTTAAAAAGGGATATAAATTGTGTTCCGATTTTAGCGGCAGGAACACTCTACGCCAAAAGGCAGCACCAAATGGCGCTGTTTCGTGCTAATCGACCACATTATCCTAAATCACTGAAATCATGTTAAAATAAATCGGCTGACAATGCTTTCCTTTTGAATTTACCGTCACACAGTCAACATTGTAAAGCCCCCTCGATTGGGCATACAGTCCAACAACCAAATCGTACTGTTGCAGACGGTCATTGACTATTAATAAGAGAACTAACTGTCCAATTGCTGTACGTAAGCACAACAACGACTATTCCAGTTCGACCGACTAAAGACATTCT